GGTTAAGAGCTCTTGTTACTCTTGCAGAAGACCATAATTGTCCGTAATTCTAGTCCCAGGGGATCTGATGCCCTCTTCTGACCACTGAGGGTAGAGCAAACACACAAAGGATACATATAAACATGCAGGCAAAACACTTACACACATAAAATAAATATGATTTTAAAATAATCAAAACTCTGCCCTTCGCTTTAGTTGAATGATATTCCTTAGGTATTCTTTTTTTCAGACTTATTTATTTATTATGTATATAACACTCTGCCTCCATGTATCCCTGCACGCCAGAAGAGGGCACCAAATCTCATTATAGATGGTTGTGAGCCACCATGTAGTTGCTGGGAATTGAACTTAGGACCTCTGGAAGAGCAGCCAGTGCTCTTAACCACTGAGTCGTCTCTCCAGCCCCTCCTTGGATACTCTTATCCAGAGGTCTGTGCTTTGATTAGCAAATCTCTCCTGGAGTTTGTGCTGTCTGTGAAAATTCTTAGTCTTTCCGTGAGTACAAAGTGCAGCTGCCTCCTTGTTCATAGGACTCATGAACACAGGGTACAGTAGTGGGAAGTCACAGAAAGGGTGAATTAATTTTTCTCCTTTCTCAGTAAGTGCTCATCAGGTCTGGTATAGTGGGTCGTACTTGGAATTCCAACACTTAGGAGGTGGAGACAGGAGGACCAGGAGTTCAAGATCAACCCCAACTACTTAGTGAGTTTGAAACCAGCCTGGGCTACATGGGACTCTGTCACAAAAATAAAAGAGCTGGAGAGATGGCGCAGGAGTTCTGAGAGCTAGCTGCTCCAGAGTTTGGTTCCCAGCATGGGTTAGAAGCCTCACAGCCACCTGTAACTCCAATTCCAGGGGATCTGACGCTCTCGCCCAACCTTCCTGGGCACCGGACACAGACAAATAAAAAATAAAATTAAATCTTATTTAAAAATAAAAAAAATTCACAATTCTGACTAAAACCGGGTGTTCTGATGCCTCTGTTGTTTGCAAAGCTGACTTGAGGGCCAAACTACCGTTTGAAAAAGGTTTTCACAATCACAACTCTCTCTGGGACACCCCAGACTCTTTCGTGTAGAACAGTTCCGGGTACCTTACCTGTAACCGTCTCCTCTTACCTGGAACTGTCTCCTCTTAGGCCCCTAATCTTTTGAACTCTACAACACTTCATGTTCAGCACCATTGACCACTTCCTCCAAGGCCAGCGTTCCTTTCCACTCCCTGTTCAGCACCATTGACCACTTCCTCCAAGGCCAGCGTTCCTTTCCACTCCTCTGAACTGTCACGATTGTCTTCTGCAGTTACATCCTCAAATCAGGGACCTCTCCTATTGAAAACTCCACTGAAACCACTGATTGCTGGGTGGGTTCAAGGGAAAGTCAGCTGGTCATATTTCAAGTTTCCCAAGGGACACATTGTGTAACCCCATATGCACATGAATGTATGCGCGCACACACACACACACACACACACACACACACACACACACACGCGCGCGCGCGCGCGCACACACACGCGCACGCACACACACACGCACACACGCACACGCGCGCACACACACACGCACACACACGCGCACGCACGCACGCACGCACACACACACACACACACAC